ATACATACATACATATTTATATATATATATATACATATATATATATACATATATATATATATATATATATATATATACATATGTGGGTTTAGGGTGTATACATATATAGAAAGAAACTATATGTATGTGAGGGGGGTTGGTGTTTCCACGTCGCAAACTCGTTGTATACTTATACTGGTTTATGTACAATGTGCATACATCAGCAATTCTACATAGATACATAGCGAGATTCTTGCGACTACTAGGATGGATAGCAGCTGCAATTGAAACGAGGGTTTAGGGTTTAGGGTTTAGGGTTGGATAGCAGTTGCAATTGAAACGAGGGGCTTTGTCGTGAGGCTTTTACGGTACATCAGCGGTGCTGAGCCGAAGGCTGCGTGGCGCTACTTATCGAGCCGCTGCGGCTGCAAATCCGAGCTTTGTAGTTAGCGGTCAGAAGGCTCGAAGTTTAGATATGTGGTGCTCTCAGGGTTAAGGATAACAAGTTAGTTCGGATTCATGTCGAAATGTCACATAGTTCTGTAGGAAATCTTTGACAAACTGAGCGGGCAAAGGCGTTAAAAGTGCAGGACATGATAGCTCGGTGATTCTGCAAGCGGCGGCTCGCGAAAGTGAGATGTTCGGAATAGGATACTGGCCAGAGATATCGGCTGAACACGGCATGGACATGACAGACGACAGTCAGCCTGGCAACTGGTACGTGCATGACGTCCTCATCGAAAGCTGGCTAGCCGCAAAACGTTGAGTGAGGTCGAGCTCTCGGCACAAGGCAGTGGAGGTCACCATCTCAGGGTCTTCGCTGTCCAAGGTTTGCAGATTCACCAAGTATTATTGGGGCATGTGTCATGTTGCTACACTTCCCGTCCGCATCGGTAGGCAAAGGCGTGCAGGAGAATCACAAGTGGGCAAGTGGTTTCAGAAAGCTCCGCAACACAGGGTTTTAAGCTGGACATACCGGGAAAGATTTCCAAGAGGGCCCCCAGCACCGCCTCAATTAGCGACATAGGTGAGGAACTGGGAAGCCTCTCTACTCATCCAAAGCGACTTACAAAGCCTGTCACGCCATGTGAATTTGTGATAGATTGGCCAGAGGCCGCTAGACTTCTCTATTGTGTGCGTGTTCAACGTGCTGCTCCTTAAACACTGAAACCTAATTCCAAAATCCTTGATCAATAGTCGGGTGGTCGTGCCCATATGAGCTCTTTGCCAGTGCGACCTCGAACTGAGATAGAGTCATTGCAGCTAGCGATTCAAGTTGGCCTTACCTAAACCCTAGACTAGGGGTTTGGGGTTATAACCCCTCGAACAAGCCCTGAGCATTTTCAAGCCCTATAGAAGCACGATAGACGAGCATGCAAACTATGTTTTAAAACTATGTCCAAATACTGGAGAATCCCAGTGCAACCATTCAGTTGCGAAATCCTTGAAAGGAACCCTTAAAGCAACCCTAAATCTTGTACTAGTACTCCCGGGAGCCCTATAGCGGAACCCTTACCCTCACGGCGGAACCCTCAAACCCCAAACCCCTATCGAACCCTATGAAGAAAAGAAATCTTGGAAAAACCCTTTGCTGGAGAAACTTTCAATATTTCCCTTATGGCTTCTATGGAGGTACCTATTCATGAATACTTTTTCAGGGCCCCCAAAACTACCAAACCCAGTTTTAACAAAATGCATCGGCTCAACCCTAAACCCTAAACCCTACCTAAACCCTAAACCCTAAACCCAGTCTAAACCCTAAACCCACCCTAAACCCTAAACCCGAAACCCACCCTAAACCCTAAACCACCCTAAACCCTAAACCCTGTTACCAAACCCAGTTTAAAAAAAAAAAAAAGGATGCACCGGCCAGGCCGCTGGTCTAAGGCCTCCAAGCTCGGGCGCCTCACGCGCGACGGCTCCGTTGCCTTCAACGAGGCCGGAGCTGCCGCCGGCTGTTTCTGTGCAGTTTGGGCTTTAGGGAGTTTAGGGTTTTAGGGGTTTCGGGGTTTAGGGTCTTAGGGTCTTAGGGTTTAGGGAGTTTAGGGTTTTAGGGGTTTAGGGTTTTAGGGTCTTAGGGTTTCAGGGTTTAGGGCTTTAGGGGTTTAGGGTTTTAGAGTCTTAGGGTTTCAGGGTTCAGGGCTTTAGGGGTTTAGGGTTTAGGGTTTAGGGTTTAGTGTTCTGGAGTTGAGGTACAGGGTTTTGCAGGGTGTTGTAGGCATTTTCTTGGGGCTTTGTGTGGAGTTTGTGAGGTTTTCCAGGGCCTGCATCGGGAGTTTTTATCGGTCTTCTATATGGTTTTTGGTGGCGTTCCGATTAAGATGGGTTCTATACAGGTTTAGGGCTGCGGCTAAGGAGTTTCTGGACTCTGGGTGGACGGAAACAGTCTGTAGTTTCTGATTCGGTCGCGTATCGACGCTCATCACGTCGCATACTGTAGACCCCCGATGAATAAACCTACCTGCTTGACAGGTGATTGACTAGGGGATAATGAAGCTTAGAACCTCAAAGGCGGGTAGTTGCCGGGTAGTTCATAAAGCAGGGCGGCCTACATTAATTCTTGTTTGCTGAGCTTGTACATGCAGGCTTCCCGGGCAGCTGTCCTCGCCATTTCAATTTGGTGGTTTAGGATGTAAAGATTTCGATTCATCCGCGGCTTAGGTGAGTTCTTTCACATCGTTTCTCTTCTTGACGTCGTGTCTAGCTTGACAAGCCCATCGGGCAGCTTCCGAACAACCCTCAAACCCTAAACCCTAAACCTTGATTTGTTGCCACTGTGGTGATTCGGATTGTGTAGATCCTTGCCTGCCTCGTGCGAGTTTGGAGAATCGAAACCCTCAGAATTTCCCTGGGGCTGTTCGGAAAACTAAAAAGTGCCATCCTTCCGAAAACTCCCAGGTGCAGGCTGACCTGTAAATTCTTTTGTAGTAAGAAGATGAAATCACAATAACTATACTAATGACTCCTAGACTTCTCGGCAGAGACTGTGAGGATGCCGCACCCTGATCCTCGCACTTTGTCAGGTAAAGTGGGTGCCAACGCAGACGTTGGTCGAGGCTGACACTCGGCCGCAGTCAACTAGGGCTTAGGGTTTAGGCTTGATAATGATGCTTGCCTTCCCTCTGCCAGCTGCCAGCGCAAGCACTCTACGTCAGAGCAAACTACGCCGGGACCCCTGCAATTCGAGAAGATCTCTGAATCTCTGCGTCCGAACAGCCTAAACCCTAACCCCTAAACCCCTAAACCCTAAACCCTGAAATCTCCAAAACCCTCGAGTCTGTGAGAGTATGACCGGTCCAATGTCCCCTTGATTGCCTGGAGCCGTGCCTGCCTCGTGCGAGTGCGAGCGTCGAATTCACATTACTGTACAAATTGGAGCGAACTCGGCTGTCTGTAAAACTAGCTAATCATATAAAGTCCTTAGACCCTTCAGAAGCGACAAACCCTGATGATCCCTTCAAACCTCGTGGGACTCCTACAATGAAACCCTGCCAGCCCAGGATGTCGTGGTTGAAGTGCAGGACTGCGCGCTCTCAGGCAGGGCGGGTTTTTGCTACCAAAAGGAAGTTTACAGGAAAAAGATAATTTCCTTTGTCTTTTCGGCTTCTTGTTCATGATCTAGCCTTCAGACTGTGTGACTAAGTTGTACTTGTGACCCTGCAGTGGTGCAACAATTCAGCATCAAGGGCATACCACATTGCACTACCTTTTCAGTGCTTGTGATCTGCGCCCTTTATCAAATCCCAAAAGCCCTAAACCCTAAACCCTAAAGACTTGCTTTCAACTACGCTTGACAGCCAAGCTGGAAGACCCACGGCCGAGCCTGGCCACAGGCGATCCAACGAATCCGGAGCCAGAAACTTCGGCTGCAAAAAATTTTCGGTTAAAGGATTATGATACAGGATTTAGTGTTTTGGTGGATGTAGGGAGTGTGTTGAAGAATCCAGGTCTAGAATACCCTAAACATCCTTTCCATTTCCATTGCTTCCGTGGCGTCAGGATGTATTGAGCCTTTATGATTAGCGTTGATTTTGTGGTTTTTCAAGATTTATAGGTTTATTTGGATTTCAAAGACTCATAGGGGTTGCCTTAGTTGCCTTGTGTAGGGCTCGGTATAGTAACGCTTGGAAGGATCCCCATATGTTTGAAATGCCGTCCCGGTATCAAGGGGTTAAGTGCCGCTCCGATGCTGCATGCAACGACGAGCTTGGAGAACGAGCGTGGGTGGCCATGCATACCCTGGCAACTCTGAGCCATCATGCTTCCCGACGACTCCGGCTGGCACCACAAGCACGCCGCGACGTATGTTTCGATGTGCGTCATTCGCATGTGGCTAGTTCTCTAAATTCGGGTCCCTTTTTAAGTCCCCAATATAGTACGACACCCTTATAAACAGGGCCCTAAAAGGGACCCTAATTTAGAGAACTACTCATGTGCGTTTGATTAGCCCGCTGTTCGCTCGGAATTGGTTTTCCTTGACATGTAGGTGTTTGTTTGTGTTTATTTACACTTATATGTTTATGGGTTTTTGTGGTTGCGTCATATGACCGCTATTCGTGGTTGGCCACCTTCTCCCACCCCCACACTTGCGGACACGACACAGCAGTACGCATGCCAACATAGCGTCAATGACTTCGGACAGCAATGCGGCATGTTGCCTGCAAGCGTGAGGCATGCTTCAAACTGAGCGCCCAGGTATACCGTGCTGTTCTTCCGCGCCAGGCACAGCACGAACTCTCGGCATCTTGACCGCACAGGCTCTGATAGCGCCTTCCGACGCAATCTGACGTGGCGATGAGGGTTATCGGCACATGCTAAATCTAAGAAGTTCTAATAATACATTATCGTACACTAGAACAGCACATTGTAGTATGCTATCCTATAGTATACTACTATAAAAATTTATAGTAGAGTACATTAGAGTACATTATATCCTCTTCTCTTCAGGTCTTGGCGCAGGTCGCGAAGCTGCTACGCGACCCGGAGGCACGGGGAAGCTCCGGGCTGCTAGTAATCAGGGCGAACCTCCTGGGATTCGGTGGAACTGAAGGCGTCCACCAGGTCACCCGAATAAGGGAACTGGACCACAAGTCAGAATCAGCCTCCTAAACCCGAAGTTCTGTGAGCTGTAACCAAGGAGTCCCGAAGCAAAAACCAAGTACTCTCACACAGCCTGTAAACCCTAAACCCTAAACCCTAAACCCCTAAACCCTAAACCCTAAACCCTTCTCGTGATGTCGGAAGGGCCTGACAACGGCATGGACCTACCGACCCTTTGGGCTGAGCTCGGAGGTTTTACTTGGAGGATCATGGGACTTAGTAAGTAAGGTTATAAGTCCCTTAATTGGGCTTATAACTAAATATAAGTATAGTTACCTTAATTATAACCCTACTTACTAAGTCCCGTGATCCTTTAAGTAGGGGGGTAAAGGTTTAAGTGTTCCAGGCCTTGGCGATTCGGATTCGCTCACCAACGGCCGTGCCTCACCCTTGTAACGGCCCTCTCACTATGAGCTTTTGTGCGGTGCAGTCCATCTTCCAAAGACAATCACGGCCTGCAGCTTGAAAACTTCCGCACAAAGATGTCATCCCACCAAACCTTGGACCGTAAACCCAAATAGCTCTTGAAGGAGTTGGCGGCGCTCGATGGCGTCACTTGTCGCATCCGGCCCAGTCAGCCCTTGCGCGTCGGCCAGGACCTCAGGTGACGATGTGGGCTTTCTAGTCAAAAGTCAGGGAATACCTCGCAAAGAGGGATCCTCAGGACCTAATTGCTCAGAGCATGCATTTGTGATATTTTTTGGATCAGGTCTAGAGTGTTGGGTTCTGATACTGAACAAGGGCCGAATGATGGCTCCAAGGCGCGTTTCTGGTTTTCTAAACCTTGTTTTCAATCGGGGATGGTACAGGTGGAGGCCTGACAGCAGGGACACTCCACGGTGATGCCGATTTTCCATTGTTCCCAAAGGCACAGCACCAGAGGCGACTGTGAGAAGAATGCTTGTAAGCCCAGACAATCGAGAGAAGAATAAGATCATGTCAATGTCTCATGCTGAGACATGGAAAGTTCCTACGCATGTCACTCCAGCTTCCTATCATGTTCCGTCGATGTCAGTCTTCGAATCCGAGTCGGAAATCGCACAACCCTAAGTCCTGCACAACTTGCCCAAAATGCTGCGATCATCAGCCTAAAACCCTAAAGCCCAAACCCTAAAGCCCTAAACCCTAAAACCCTAAAGCCTAAACCCCAAAACCCTGTAAAGCCTAAACCCGACGGAAAGTTTCAGAGCGAGGCCTGAAGCCTGTCTCTGGCGGCGAGCCGGCAGAGTTGCTTCTACGCTTCTGGCGCCGACGGGGTTTGGGGTTTTAAGGACTTGCAGTGCTGCTTGGAGATTAAGGTTGTTACGCCTTTGGAAATTTCGGGGCTTTTGCGGTTTCAAGTATGTTGAAGGGCTAGCACTTCAAAGCTTTTTTCGGTTTTTAGGATCCTGGAGCCAGGCAATCTCGGAGTTTAAGCAGGGCTTTGCCGACCTCGGCCTCCTGGGGTTTGTAAAGACCAGAGGCACTCCAGCAGTTCCCTTCAGTTTAGGGTTTAGGAACCCTAAACACAAACGTGGCGCTGTGCTTTCTTGCCGGCCGTTACGGGGTGGAGCTTGCTAAGAGCATTGGTGGAGGCGGTGAGTGTTTTAGCCTCAGCATGCCGTGTACGCTTAGAGAAGACTGCAAGTGGCTGGAGAACCATTTTGTCCAGAGATATCCAGACCTGGGTCTGTTTCGACAAGACGTCTTCTCAGTGTGTGCAGTTCAGAGGCTAGGACGACCCGGGAAAGAGCACAGAAGACGTGCCCGTGAAGCGCAACGTTGTGAGGCCTGCCTGGGACCCAGATCGCGTGCCAACGACGCAGCGCTGGGTGGAGAGCTCAGTTGGACTAGCTCTGATCATCTCTACTTGGGCCTTTGCAGGCCTTGGGGCTTAAGGCATGCAATCTCGACCTCGGGCCTTGGCCACGAGCATGCAGTGAATCTGCGAAGACCCACTGTTTGGGTGAAATCTGGCTGTTGAAGAAGCCGAGGTGCCGAAGGGCATCGTGACCCGACAGGAGGCCGGTGCCCCACAAGCGCAACATCCGTTTCACAGCAGATGTCCCCTAAACATCGAGACAGCGACCTGGTGCTGTCGCGGCTCCCTGGCCTTGCACTGCCGACCGGCAAAAACAGCACTTCAAAGACAAAAAGCCATCAAGCTCCTAAAAATTACCTGTAGGGCCTAAAGCCAAACACGTAGAAAGCCCCGAAGTTGATCCAGGACACCAAGCTGCCGCCACCCGAGCGGCGAGAGGGACCTCTTGAGAAGCGATCGAAAGGTCCGAAGGGACTATTAACAGCCGGGGGCATCTTAGGAGTTTCGGGCTTGGGGCTTGCCGGATTCGTTCATACGGATGTAGTGGATGCAGGACTGGCACGGGCCTGAAATGGGAAGCGTTTGAGTACGGAACGACGAACGCATGCAACGGTGTTGGGGCGCACGTAGTTTCGACCTCACAGACCCCTCTGAAATAACGTACAACAGTTTTCAGAGAATCAACCAAGCGAACTCGATTGGCTACGTGTGCTGTAGCTGGGTGGAGACTGGCACACGGCCTGGCTAGAACATAGAATTGCTAGATTCAGAATCTCTGTGGAAGTAGGAGCAGCGGGAGGAGGAGCAGTAGTAGTAGTAGTAGTAGTAGTAGTAGTAGTAGTAGTCGTCGAGTTTCCGGCATCTGGAAATTGCAGCGGATCTTCAAGCGTACGGGGCTTATTCAAGTCTTGGAGTCTTCCGTATCTGGTGGAAGTGGTGCTAAGCTTCGGTGCTTCCAGCAAGCTGCAACGAGAAGGGACAGATTCTCGTTCAGGTACAGAGGTAAGCCAGAGCCGTGAAGAGTCGGATGCTATGGGCTCGTCTACTAGCGATGCATACTTGTATAGCTCATCCCGAACTCTAACTCGGAAGCCACTGCCCACCCACAAGCAACAGGTGCGTTTCATCACTGGTCTCGGAAGTGGGTCGTCTTGGAGAACCACGAGCCACTTGACGTTATCGGCTGGCCCTTTCCGTTTATGGGAGCTTCCAAGTCTGAAGGCAGAGAGTTCGAATAGTCACCATCAAGATATTGAGTCGTGAGTTCCGAACCCCACATCCTTAACCCTCGAGCCCCGGTGAAACCCTGGTTCAACAAAGGCACTACAAGGGTAATATAGGTGCCTCAATAGCTGTAATCATAATAAGGAACCCCCAAAAACCTTATTTTGATGATTAAGGCCCGTACATTACTATTGCAGGCCGTACTGCAAGGGTACTACGAGGAGGCTTCTTTAAGGGTTCACGGTCTTTGCGGCTTCGGCCTAGGTCTACGGTCCTGTCAATTTCAAGGCACACTTTGCTGTAGATTGGTTGGCCTCAGGCAGTTCGTGCCTCATCATCATTAGAAGCCGCATGGCTTGTAAGTTTCAGTTGCGGTTTCGAGAGTAGGCTATGGAATTTAGGATCAAAAACTTACCGCCCTAAACCCTGAGCCAAAGAGGTTACACTTACAGCCCTAAACCCTAAACGGCCCTGAACCCAAGAGGTTGGCTATTGAGTTTTTGTGGGTGTTCGTTCCATCAGCCTGCTGGTCCTGGCCCGGCCGCAGGAAGGAGTAAGTTTCTGGGATGATCCATCCTCCAGGTCCCTTTTGGGTCCCTGTTACTATCGTCACACCATGGCCTGCCGCAGGACCCTACTCTGATTCTTAAGTCCCCTACTTTCTAGCCCAGCGGTGAATATAATATACATCTTTGGCCCATGGCTGTGAAGAATGTCGCAAACAACAGGGAGGAAGAGCATGAAGCTGTGACGGAGCTGGAAGCCTATACAGGGGCCTTTATAACTACCATTACCATTTTGGGGTTCCTTAGTATAAGTATAAGAAAAACACAATCCAAAACCCTGTTCTAATAGTCAAGGTCCCTATATTAGATGAGGCGCCCCCCATCCTTCCACCATGGCCCAGGTTCATGTACTGGAACGACCGGAGGGACTTTGAACAAGGTCGTCGCCCGAAGGCCAGTCGCGAAATGCTGAGGATCTACTTTATCAGCTTGTCCTCAATCCACCCACCGCCCCGTGTGTCCAAGCCTCACTGTAGTTTATGGGACTGTGGACAGTCTACTTATGGTGCGGCTACCATGCGTGAGGACATGGACAAAGCACATGAAACCTGCGAGAAGGAAAACTATCAGAGCATCATAGAGGATCCTTTAGGGGAAGAGCTTCGACTTGGTTCGGATTATCGATTGCAGCAAGCTGTAGGCCAGTCTTGTAGGTGTTGGCACTGATGGACGGGTAGAGTCGGGTAGAGTGTTCATGTTCGAGAAATTGCTCACCCAAACCTGGCCGCCAGAGGAGGTTTTTACAAAGCACAACCCCGACGTCACGTCTTGCGAAACAGCTGAAGTCGCCAGGTGCAAGTATCTTTGTAGCTCCGAGTCCTGCAATCCCTAAATCGATGCGGGGGAGGTGTTCAAGATTCTAGGGATGGCGGATGGGCCTTGAAACCTCAAGTTTATCGTCACAATTAACAGCGGCGCATGTCCCCGGACCCCGAGCACGTAGCGCTACCATCCTGCAGCCCTAAGCCGGCCCCTCCTTCGAAGCTTTGGTGGAAAGGTCCGCTACTCCCTCGCAGCTGCAGACTGCTGGAGCCCTGTTTGGGGAGGTGGGTTTAGGTCAAAATGGGAGTTTCCGAGAATTAGGGTACCTTATTTTGGGGTCCTTATAATAAGGATCCTATTATTTAGGGTACTATATTAGGGTCCCCTAGTTTCGGAAACCCCCAAATGGCTTCTGCATCACTCAAGGCCACTATGTGTCTCTTTCATGAAGTGTAAACGGCACGCCGTGTGCATCATTCTTCTGTGAGGCTGATGTGGTGTCTCCTGGCTTTGCGGTTTCATATTCTGGTACCGATGTCGCAAAGTCGAACTTAGGGCCCATTGATCATCAGAAGCATGCAAGAAACAGCATGCTGGAGGCAGGGTTGGCGATTTGGCAACGACTGGTGCTGGTCCACGGAGGGACTAGGAACGGAGCCATTGTCCAGGTCGTAATCCCCATGCCAACATGCATCTGTCTTCAATATTTCGCCGAGAGTCTGGAATAGATCGGCATTTGAAAAGCGGGCAGGTGCTGTGCAATAACTGCTTCAGCTTCGCCGGCTGTGCGTCGTTTTGCCAAGGAAGACGTGGTTCATGGGGTTCCTGATGCCAGAAACTTTTGTTCAGCAGTCCTAATGGTCTTGTTGGCGGCTGTCAATTCCATTCAGACTGTTTTTTCTGGCCTTGGTATTTCGAAACCTGTGAAACAACAGCAGGGACAGGGGTGTTGGTGTTTAGGAATGGACGAGTAACATAAGAGATAATAGAAACATGATAGTTTTTCTTCTTTGTGAAGATGCTACGTGAAAACTGAACATGTAGCAGTGCCAGCTTGTGAACAAAACGTATACACACAACGAGAGTGCTGCCACTACAAATGCGAATAAAAGTTCTCGTTGTTTTCTGTTGACATTTTTCATCACCATAGCTATCAATCACAGTGCCGGAAAGGCACGGGACCACAACTCCGCACTTGCTCCTTCACCTGCTTGCAGCCAGCTTCGACGCTGACAGCAGCGTTTCTCAGAAAGTTTTCGGGACGCTAGGTCCGCTAGGTCGAAGCAACCACCTTGGAGCGCAGCCAGCTCTCGCCGAGGTCAGTATCGATTTGCCGCCGGCGAGACGCCCGAGGCGCTTCAAGATGAAAACCGTTGATTCGGCATGCCGGAGAAAAATGGTGTCAGTGCTAAGATGCAGAACCCTAAACCCTAAAGACCGTATGTGCGGTCCATGCTGTGCATAGAAAACTCTGCAGGTGAGCGGCTCAGCCCCTGCAAAACCCCAAAGCAAGCCAGAAACACGCCTTCAGAATTTAGGGTTTGGGATTTAGGGTAGGTGTTAGGGACTTCAGTAGTGCACATAACATGTTGCGGCATGTGTATGATCACACACGGCTGGAAGTGGCAAAGCCATGGTCGCAATTCGCATGGGCAGAGCACCAGTTTGAGCAGAAGTTTAGCGCTCGTTGGAAGTTCGATCAAACGAAGCACCCAAACCACAAAATCGTGCTGTCGAGGTTCGAACACGAGGGCGAGCCAGATTGGAGCATACGTTGTCTAAAGCTTCTGTTCTCACTCTTCCGGTTGCCCCAAACCGTGCCGGCTAACGGAATACTGCCAAAGACTCTTTCTTCTGCGCCTGTCTGCAAGTCGAAGGCATGCTTCGTGCAAGTGCGCTCTGACGGCTTGCTGGAGGCAGGAAGCCTACTTGGAGAATCACGGGACTTAGTAAGTAAGGTTATAAGTCCCTTAATTGGGGTTATAAGTAAATGATCCTTTAAGTAGTGCAGATGCCTGCTGAATACCTCCCTTTCTGTCAGGGCTACAATATGTCAAAATATGTCCGGTTCCCTACATGTCCCTAGTGAAGATTCTCACCACTCCAAAGGCAAGCATGGGAAAGCCTTAGGAGTTTGGCCAGTTTGGCCTTACCTACTGCGATACCTTCTTCAAAAGATGCAAGAACGTTTGTGCGGCAAATGTAGTGTGCAACCACTGTGAAACCTACAGCCTCGGCATTCTCGTGTTTGATGCTCCTACACCGGGCCAAGTGAAAAGTAGCAGGCTGTACAAGATTTACCTCATCTCTGTTGCGACCAGGCACAGTGGCGTCCTGCGCAAGGCAGTGACGAGACGGCCGGAAGCTGGCTGCAAGCGGTGCCGCTCTGAGATTTGGGCGTGTGGTCCGGCTTGCGGGTTCGAATTGCTGGGCTCAGACGGCTTCAGCGGGTAAAGGCCCCTGCAAAGCCTGCATTAACCACAGCATATCGTAACCGTCCGGTCGGGCTTGCTTGTTTGGAAGTGCGATGTCTCTGGAAGCACGCCTGGCGACCGACCGGCATACAAGTGGGTGGTTGTCAAAATTATGGTCCCTTTTCGGGTCCTTATTACAATACGGCACCTGTTATTTAGGGTACCCCAAAAGCGACCATAATTTTGACAACTACCCAAGTGGCAGCTGGGTCTGGTTTAAAGCAACCTGCGGAACTTCGGCATTCTCGCTCTTGACGTTCCTCAAAGACTCTGGCTCTATGGTTCGAAGAGTAAGAACTTGTACTAGACACCTTTGGTTGAAGATAGAAGCAGCTGCAAGAAATTGATCCACATCCCTTTCGGTACCTCAAGAAAGGAGAGGGTTGGGGTAGGACGAATCGGTCACGACCTGCGAGTTTCCGAAAACAAGGGGTACCTTATTTTGGGGTCCTTATAATTGGGATCCTACTATTTAGGGTACTATATTAGGGTCCCCTTTTTTCGGCAACCCCCACAGGCTATGACCCTACACTTGGCATGCCTTGGGTATCAGTCACACGGAAGTTGTGTTTGGAAGGCCAGGGTATGTGGGGGTCCAGCTGCTAGCCCAAGGTTCTTCGACACACGATCCAGGACAAGTGATGCCTGTGCTTCATATAGATGCAATTTCATGCACACTGGCGATGAAGTTCATCCTTTTGCGCCTCGTTCAGCACCCTAAACCCTACAGCCTAAACCCACACCAGGGGTTTCTTTACAGAAGGTTTCTTTAGGCGTTGAAGCCCGCAATTGGCGGATTCAAGGTCACAGCTTCTCGCAGAGCGAAGCTCTCGATGGCGTGTAGCGATTCCCATCCGTTAATGCTCGCACCAGGCGACCTGCACAGCATCGTAGGCTCGATCGGTTTGCAAAACAAACTCAGGAGCCCAATAGGTAAGCTTCAAACCTTTTTCGATATATTAGAACCCTACTAAAAGAAAAAATTAACTTTTTGGCCAGTGAAACAAGCCGCCACGTTGAGATTGAATTGAAGCAGCCTTGTGAGGCCACCGATGCAAGACAAGTCAGAAACGAAGACACCTCAAAGTGTACAGGTAAGCCCGCTCGTGCACGGAATCCTCGCAAGATGTGTTCTTCTT